ATTTCCAAATTGATGCTCCGACTTGCCGTAGAGTCCTCGTAGCCATGAGAGGTGTGTCCATGTAGATGAGCAAATAATTCTGCAATTTAAGTGGGGCGCACCCCCTAATATAATGGCAGGCAGGGCCGGATTAACGCATAGGCATTCTATGCGTGCCTATGCTCGCTCGTCCAGGGGGGCCCAAACACAATGAAGAGATATATAATATTTTTGTTATACTATGGGCTATCTACAACAGTAAAAGAACCAAAACCACAGAAGACATTGAGCAAATAAATATAACAATCAATAGGGTAAAAAATGACCAACTATTTCCGTGTCTTTAACCTTTTTTATGTAGGCTGCATTAATAACTGCATTAGCCTACATATCAAAAGCTCAAGCCCCCGTTATTAGCTCTAAAATGACGTTTTGGAATTTGCAACGGAAGGTTTGGGATGAGGTGCGTAAAAAATGAGCTAGTTCAACACACACGAGATTTCAGGACAGAAACATGTTAAATATCTTGAAACAAATAATCTGAACAATTGATGTGTGATTGTGACTCCAGGCCGTTAAAATTATTAGAAATAATGCACTCCCGAAGTGGTTATGTGGCCACGTCGCCGCGCCTATTAATGGAATGGTCTTTCTCAGTTCTCAAACAAATTAAGAACTACATTAGATTTTTATTGACTGAACGCAGGCGCTTATTGCGATAGAAAATACTGTAAAGGTTTCACTGATTAAGAAATATTTTTGTTTGCTTGGGTGGTAATATTAGGCCTATTATATTAATAGGGAAGGGGGGCCCAAAAATTTGTTTTGCCTACGTCACGAAAAGAGGTAAATCCGGCCCTGCTAATGTTAGTGTAATCTGTTACCGGGATAAAAATAATTCAGCAGAGGCAGGGATGCATAAGCCAGAGGGGGGGAAATCCCCCCATCCCCCCCCCCGGCAAATCGCTATATATATATATATATATATACAGCCTCCAGCATTATGTGTGTTGTCAAGTTTTGTATGCATGTTACCGCATGTCATTTCTTATGGCTGGTATTGCATTCTCACTTTGTGGGGGGTCTGATACTTAGTGACGTGTCAAGCACCGCCTTCCAGGTGACTGTCCTCTGGTGTACAGGGCCTCACTGGGGAGCTGTCCATATCTCCCATAGGTGGATCTCAAACACAAGATGATGAAGTAACCCTGTTCGTAACCCTGGTTCTCTGAAACATCGAGTGGAGAAATCCACCAAGTTTGCCCCGCTTGCTGCATGAGAAGCAAATATTCTGACTAAGGAAAGGTAGCGCGAGCAGGGGTTTTATGCACTCGGTTAAGGGGCAGTCTCTTACCTGCCATTGGACACACACTCCTGTCTGTCAAGCCAGACTTGGTGCAATTGGTTGCTTCTGCAGAGGTCAGGCACGGATGCCCTTCCCATAGGGTTACGAACAGTAACCTATTGTTTACTGTCACAGACTACTTTTTTTAGTGGAAGGATGGCATTTAATGATTTAACTTAATAAAAAGTAACATATTACTACATCAATTGTGCCTTTAATATATGTATTGTGCGGTAACCATTTTATAAAAGCAATAAGTCCTGTGAAGCTGTGGTTTACAGTGAATTTAGAACAGGTAAGGAGGTTTTAGGCACTCCGCTTCACTTTATGCCTAACAATGCCCTTTAACTGTACAAAATTCACCGTAAACCATGGCTTCACGGGGCTTGTTGCTTTATCAAACATGTTTGATCTCCTCTGACTGGATTAAATTATAGACTGAAGCTAAAAAATTTGAGTCTGTGACCATCACACACTACAGTACGAGATTTCCTACGAATAATGTTCATTTGAACTAAGAAAAAGGATTAACCTTGTAACTTATTTTATTAATCTCGCCATTTACAACTGGCTGGTGTTAACAAACAGTGTAATGTCTCACCTGAAGTAGTCACTGCAGGAGGCCAAAACTGCTTTGTGAACCTCAAAGCGCTCGTTGTCAATGACCAGAACCACATCCAGCAACTGACCTTGATCGCGTAACACAGACAGTCCCCTCAGGAGAGTGTTGCTGTGGCTGGGGGCCGAGAAAGTACAACGGAGTGTGCTGTTCTTGTTGTTAGCCATGCTGGAAGAAAGAGAGAATCAGTTTACAAGGAATTGTATCTCTCACCACTCCCTGATCATTGTCTCTGGCTACACAGTCAACAGAAATTCACAAGTAGCTTGATGAGTCTGCTGTATCCTGACGCTCCATCAATAGGTCTTGGTTGCTAAACTGGCGCATCAACATGATCCCTGTAATGGCACCTTCTTTTAAATTATTCAACTGAATGGATAAAGAACCTATTTGCATACAGAACCCATAAGCCTCACAAATACCAAGCAACAAGTTACCCAAACAATTACCAATGTCAAATGATTCTTATGATGACCGTGCATATGTTAAAAGTTAAACAAAAGAAAGTTAAATACCTGTATTGTAATTGATCCTAACCCTCACATTCTTTTGAGAAAGACTATATATACTTTAATGTTTGGGGTCCTAGATAGTGCAATGTTATATATATATATATATATATATATATATATATATATATATATAATGGTACGATATATATATATACACACACATATAATGGTACGTTTATAGCCAAATAATAATAAATAATACATTTTGGGATGGAAAAACATGAATCGCTTACAGCCTAATGTGATTACTAAACTTAAAATGCGATGATTTCAATAAATAAATGTGAGCAATGTTCAAAGTCAAAACGCAGTGCTGTTGCGCATTCAATGGGCTCACAGGTTCAGAGAATTTATGCCAATAGATTGTCAAAATTAATCATCAGTAGATCCTAAGCAATGTTTACTTTATGGTCTTTATACTGTAATAAATTGTAGATGGATGTAAGAGTGCTTATTTAATCTCCCACTAGGGGTGTGCCATATCATACTGTCCACGATAATACCGGTATCAATTTTTACATGATAAAAAAAGTGTCATATCGCGATATCAATGATACAACTTCTGCCACGAGCAACGGACCCAACGCAACGGACCCACAATTCATTTCGGCAATGCTTGACGTCACTCCATTCAAAGTAAATGAGAAGCGTTGGATGACAGTAGCTCATTGGAAAAGGATGGAAAATGCTCTTAATTTTGTTTGCACTAATTAATGCTGCTGCCTGCCAGCTGCAATCACCAATAAAATGTTGTTCTATGTTTTTTTTTCTTCTATATCGTCATAAATATCGTTATCGCAAATATTCTTGAAATATCGAGATATAATTTTGAGGCTATATCGCTCACCCCTATCTCCCACATCTTTTTGAATGAGCAGCTGGCAATAGTAAAGCATACAATTTTCAAAATAAGAGTCCCAGTGTATGGACCCTTTTCACAAGACTGTGATGACGCGTTTAACGATCATCAGCAACGTAAATCCTCTAAAGTTTTTCATATTTGTATTTTTTTTTAAATGTATGTACATTTATA